GTGGTCTCTGCAGGACCATGCTGCAGACGTCTTACCGCTCGGTGGTCTCTGCAGGACCATGCTGCAGATGTTTTACTGCTTGGTGGTCTCTGCAGGACCATGCTGCAGATGTTTTACCACTCGGTAGTCTCTGCAGGACCATGCTGCAGACGATTTATTGATCAGTGGTCTCCAGCATCTCCTACACTGTGGTGTGCTGGGGCAGCAGGGTGAAGAAAGCTGATGCCAACAGACTTGATAAACTCATCAAGAGAGCTGGCTCAGTTCTGAGTGTGTGGATCTGCAGTCTCTGACAGAGGTGTCCGAGCAGAAGATGAGGAGGAAACTGCTCCAGATCCTGAACAACACGTCACACCCCCTGCATGACACCCTGGACTCTTACCGCAGCACCTTCAGTTGTAGACTGAGACCACCGAGGTGCTCTACAGAACAACACAGGAAGTTCTTCCTCCCTGTGGCTATAAAACTTTTCAACTCCTCCCCCTTTCTACACAGAGGACAATAAATATAATCCTGCACCACAATAAACTCTTTAATAGAGTTAGAATTACCAATCAGTCTAACATGCATGTTTTTAGTCAACTAAAACATCTAAAGGTCCCTGGCCAGGTCTGCACCTGAACTATTTTAGAACTTAAATGTTGCTATTTGTATATTCTCTGTTATTTTCTATATCTTGTGTGATTCCTTATGTATGTTCCTTTGTAGTGATATGTAGATGAACATATGCTGATATACATTCATAAATTAAACGGATTCTTTCATTTTTCTGGACTGTATAATGTACGTGCATTGAATTTAATAAAATGTGGACGGAAACGTGGCTATCTTTGACTCACCAACGACAGTGGGTCATTTATTTAAAAACGATTTAAACACATCACACATTTACATTAATTTGGCAAAATGATTTATAACAACATGGCTAATTTAGCAAGTTTTACAAGGAGGAAACAATACGGCGATTGTTTTCTCACTTCTAGCAGTACAACAGACATTAACCATACGGCGATGGTTGAAAAACTTCACAACAGACATTTCTGGAAATATCTGGATTAATTTGCTAGCAGATAGAAGAGTTTAAAGATTGAAGTTTAGAGGGAGGGAGATGGTGTGTGTGTGATTGAAAAGTGTTGAACAGAACGGCACCCTCCATTCGACCCAGCTTTCCTCGGTACGCTCGGTAGTGAACTCGACTCATTACCTCTCTGACGATGAATCAGAGGAAGCGGAGCTCCAGTTACGCTACCGGTCCAGCGTCTCCGTAGGATGGCAGAGAACCGTCCGGAGTGGTGGCAGGACTTCATCAACAACAGTTCACCTCACGAGTGGACTTCACATGAGTGGAGTCCTTCAGAAGTTCCACTCAGAGGTGGAAGATGTCATAATTCCCACAAGACTCGGAAGAGCTCTGGATTATGCTGGACTTCTGTTCTCCCAAACGACTGGAGCTGCAAACTCTCCACCCGACTCCAACTGGGTTGAACTAGGAAGTACCGACATTTAAAGAGCTCTGTTTCCGGTTCATTTGGGAGTTTCTGATTGGTCGATGGACCAAAACAGAGGTGTGTTTTGTGATGTAAGGTGTTATGAAAAGTCAAGGAAAAAGATTAAGATTGTTTAAGAACAGACAGAAGATATTATGAAGAACTCAGACTTTGTGGAGTCAATTCTCTAGTATCTTGCTGTAAAAGTTAAACATGACATTTCTTTTTCAGTAAACTTGCAGTTGACCGAAACTTGAACTTTGACCAACTTACACAACTTGCTCATTTCAAACAGACGATCAAGAAATTGAATCATTACTCTGTAACATATTCCAACTTGATTTCCACTTTGAATGAGGATTAAAAATCGTTATTACTGTTTCACAGTTGATTTAAAAATGAGTAGTTCACTTCAACATTTAAACATTGTTTGAACTAACACAATTTGATTATCAAACATTTGTAAAATAGTAATGATAATCGAAAGTAGTCTTCTTTCACTTGATTAATTCAAGAAAGAAAGTCTCAGGATGGGTCAACCTGTATTTCTGGATTCAAATCAATGAAATGACAGTTTCTGTCCCATAAGGTCCTTAAGGTCAGGATTTGACCTCAGGCCTAGTTCACTACAGATATTCTGGCACAACAATTTCCTGTGGGATCAACAAAGTTCTATATTGTCTTATCTTATGTTAAAACATCATTGTTAGATGACTGCAGAAGGTAGTCCTAAAGTTCATTTCAGTGGACTTAAGTTGAATTTTGTTTAAACATTTTTATTTTCCTGGAACAGATCCAAATTAACATCTCCTGCTTTGGAAGTTATTTTAATTATTAGGGCCAGTGATTGCCCCTGATCCCCAGACTGGCCCCTACTGATTCAGACTGGCCCTGTGTAACCTGCAGTCACACATGCTTACTGGCTCAATGGTTAGCAGATAGCATGCAGCTGATGACTTGTTCTCACTTTAGCGTTTATCAGTGCCTCTGCTTTCATGTGTGCAGTTGCCACACATCTCTTCCTCTCTTTCCCCCAGCTGCACGCTTCACATTTAGACACAGTGTATTTTTAAAAGCTGACAGACAGTAGTCTGTCTCTGCAGAAATGTTATCTTGACTTCAGGCTGAGCCAGGACACTCATTTAGGAGTCTGTGTGTAACATTTTTGGCTCATGTCACAAAGCGAAGAGGCGGATTTGGAAATGCCCTTCGTCCAGCTATCTGTCCATCAGTGCATGTTGTGAACATGAAAACCTCAAATAAGAAAAATCAGGTTCTTCCATTTTTGGTGCGTTGCTGCTTAGCACAAGAAAAGTTTCTTTCGAAAATTGGGTTGCCAAGTCAACATCCAACATGGCTGCCACTACATACATATAGGGCAGCATGGTGGTGCAGTTGGTAGAGCATCTGCCTCTAAGTGAGAAGGTTGCAGGATCAAACCCCAGCCGGGGGCCTTTCTGGGTGGAGTTTGCATGTTCCCTCCGTGCTGAGTGGGTTTTCTCCGGGTACTCCGGTTTCCTCCCACAGACCAAAAACATGTATGTTAGGCTGACTGGTAACTCTAAATTGTCCCTAGGTGTGAGTGAGAGAGTGAATGGTTGTTTGTCTCGTTTGTCTCTATGTGTCCCTGTGATGGACTGAAACCTGTCCAAGGTGTCCCCCGCCCTCAGCACAGTGATTGCTGGACATGGGCACTGGCAACCCCCATGACCCAAAATGGAAGAAGCGGGCAAAAGATAATGGATGGATGGATGT